CCAGCTAGATTTTATTGACTTATTTCAATTAATTTCTAGTCATCAACACTAGCCAAGCAGCAGCCATGGCCTACCAAACTGTTGATAACATGCAACAGACGTGCACAAAACCAAACCTTTTACTTTTTTGTGTTCAAGATGGTGCAGTGTAGGCCTGCCTCTGTGTGTTGGCATGCATTGTTTAGTCTTGTTAGTTTGTTATTTCAGTGTTTTGCTACAGTATCTGGGGTTCTTCCACCAGAGAACATAGCATGAACATCAGGGATACAGCTCTTGTGGATTCATTTCTCACTTTTCTCACGTAATGCCTTCACCATCGGGCATGCAGTAAAATGCAGGAGGAGACAAACACACCGATGACAACATCATTCTACTTGACAGGACCAACCATTGCCTACATTCATTCACTAACTTCCTTTGTCTAAAAGTTCAAATATATGACTAATACTAATAACTTACCTCTACATTTTGAATTGTATCCTAATTCTTAATTCTGATCTTAACACAATTCTTATTCAGTGCATTACAGAATATGTATATATTCATTCAGCATCATTTGTATTTAGGTCAGCCCACCTGCCTGCAACCTTTCTTTCTTTTTAAAATTTCAGTTAAGAGATCCCCTTCATTTTCTACACTGACTTTGAAAAGCTCCAAGTAAAGGCATGCAAACCTTTTTTTGACTTGTACTCTGAAATTAGAAAGTCATGGATACAAATCAAAGAACAGCCGTTTATTATTATTATTAAGATTATTATTTACTTTGGGTTTTTTTTTCAGTTTCCAAACTTGGCCTGTGAAGATGAGAGATCACCAGGTTGAATGATGACAATAAGTACTGATGTTTCTATATTATTCACCTGTTTATTAGCACTGCTCTTGCTGTCCACATCTGTCAGAGAGCACACAGTGGGAAGTTGAAATGTACACAGTAACGACTGGAATAATAGCTTGAAATGGTTAATGCTCAGTGAGGTGTTGGTACTGCAGTAAATGTTTCACTAACAGTGCACAAATTGAATTATGATAAAACCAAATGAATATATTTTGGCTTTCAATGATGAAGTACAAAATGTAAGTAGAGAGGACACTATGTTGTCATTTCAAATTCAATTAATTTTAACAAGCACATGGCTAAGCTGGGGGAATCTGGTTTTGGTACAGTGTACAGCAGCTGTACAACAGCACGGTCCCATCAACATCACGCGCAGACAGGAATCACATAGCCAATAGTTTAAGGTCCATACTGGAGTGCATTGCACTGCAATTTAAAGTGCCTCTATAGGTGAAATCTGAAAGGTGAAATCTGAAGTGATTTAATGTTCTCTTCTTACAGTTCATGTTCTTTGGTATAGAGATTTCACCGTTGGTAGTGGGGTGGATGACTTGTTGGTCAATCTGAACTGTTGTACATTACGAGACAGTATGTTCCCAGTACTAAGACAATGCCCCTTAGTTGGTAGCAGGGTTGCTAGGGTGCGTATTACACTAAGTACACTAAGTAGAAACTATATAATAAGGCCTGGTCTGACATCAGTTAGGCTGTGATTTGAGAATGCTATTGTAACAGTTTTATGTTTTAAAGTTAAGTTTCCAGTTTTAAACTGGACAAAATCACAAATAGCAAAAGAGTAACTTCAACATTGCCATTGTTGTTGGTTTTTCCCTTTTCTGAACAGTACCATTTAAGATTTGTTCATGTTTTGTTTCTGGTGTAAGTAGACAGGACAAAACAACAACAAACAGACAAATTAGAGGTAAAATGAACAGCCTGAAGAAGGTGTTGAGCCACCCCCTTGTCATAGGTACCGCAGTTGTCTTGAGCTCGACTGGAGGGATGAACACCATTCTTTTAAAAGATATTCTGTCATTTGGTATTTTGATGAATGTCTAACTCTTCTGTCAGAAATTTCCAACAGGTGTCTAGGTGGGTTAGATTTGGTGACTGTAAGGCCATAGTATACTGATTGACATCACTGTGCCCTGTATGGAAGTATCTAAAAGCAGGTAGAACTTTTATTATACCTAACATTGTGTTCTCTTACAGTGTGAATGCATTACATACTAAAAATATGGTCAGAATTATTATGTAAATGCAACACAGCTAATGTGTCATGTGGCTACATTGCAGTGGCTCTGTGGCTACTGACAGTAAAGAAATGAGTGACTTCATTTTCCATGATGGATGTCTGCCTGCTAAAGGAAAGCTCTTGATTCTGAGTGACTGACACTAAAACCTGATGTTTTGAGACTGATGAAAAAAGTTCTGCTGTCATGGGCAAGTCATCCACAGGAAGAAAGAAATATAAGATCTAAGACACAATAACATAGCCATCAAATATGGTTTATGATCACTTATTATAATGTGACCAAAGATCCACTCATCGTCTGAGGCACCTCCACTCAAGAATAGGAAATGTGATTGAAAACCATGAAAACCTTTGACCTTATCATTTTGTTACATACACAGCTCCCAAAGGTTTACAATGAACTTAACAATGTTTGAATAGTTTGGAGTGGAGTTGTTCTTTGGCATCAATGGACATTTTGGAGCTTTTGAGCTGATCCTAGCACATTTACATTGATTTTAATTAATGTGCACCGTTGCCTATAAATCAACAATTAGTCAAAGCAAACTAAACAACTTACTAACTATTTGTAGCATTAAAGTGAAGCAAAATTCCCTCATTTAGGATAATTTTGCATGTATCCATTCTTGCGAGAAGATTTTCTCCTCATAAGGACTGTAACAGCAGGACGTACAAACGCACACAAAATACAATCAGTAATCTGGGAGGGTGGGGGGAGTGGTTTAGAACAAAGAAATGTAATATATTTCACTAACCATGCTGTTGGAATGCAAGTCACACACAAACAGCAGAAACAAAGAGCTCCTCACATTGTGAGTTTGCAGCCAGCCAAGAGTAACGCATACTAATTCCTCCCTCTGATTAAAAGCAAACAGAACTATTACTTTGAAAAACATAATCCTGGAAGGCAACATGGTTATATTTCTACCACAGAACATTGCATGGTTTCCAATGTTTCACTGAGGATAGGGGAGGTTAACTTCATGAGATTACACACATTTTCATGCTGTCTGCACCCAGGAATAAATGCACTATTTATGGTGGATAAATGATGTGAACCCGCTCCCTGTGTGGCTGTGCTGAGGGAGCAGTGTGACATTTAAGAGGGAATGTAGGAATGGGTGAATAGGAAGGAGAGACAGATGGATGACAGCCGGGGATCAGAGGAGAGGTTGTGCCGTAACTGCAGCTGTGGTATGGATAATCATCATCATTTTAGACAGGGATGTTTGATCAATACCTGTGGTCGCAGTGTGGAATGAGAAAAACAGCAAGTGGGGAGGACTGGGAAGGTACTGCATGCTTGCAGAGAGTAAGTCAAGGGTAGGAAGGATGAAAAAACAAAACAGAGCGAGGCTGGCAAATAAACAAATATGAGAGAGCAATTCAAGTGTGAGGAGAGCAACCACAGAAAAAGAAGAGTGGGACGAATGAAGCCTTCAAGACAAATAACCAAATAATATATTAAATGTATTCAATCCAGGCAGTGTGCTTTAAACTTCAATCTAAATACTTTTTACTGCTAATATATAAGCACCACTATTTTCTTCAGCTATATAGACAACCGGCTGTATAAAAAGCCTGACATCACTTTGGGAGCATACTGGGAGAATATATCTGCTCTGTGCAGTAAACACAGCCAGCCATGTTTAAGCTTTGCTTACCAAAGATTGGGGGGAAACGGCTAGCCTGGAACTGTTCTAGCACCAGATGTCCACAGCTGCGTCGTGTTCTTGGTTTCGCTATGGCATCAAATCACAATCCATAAGTTGATTAATAATAGGCATTCATGTACATTCAAGGTAAATTTCTTGCTTCAAAATACGAGCTGGCTCATGTAAAACAGCTTGAACTGTAAGGAAAGTGGCCACGTGAGAACGCTCTGAACATAATCTGGTTTTAACTGTTTTGTGGGAGCTACTCATTGCTGTGGGTTCTTGATAGTCCAGTTATTTCGGCACAGAATAGAACCATGAGAATAGAGCCAGCTAATGTTGGGAGAAACAACACGGAGTTGCAAAGACGCTGTTAATGACGGGTGTTTGAAAAAACATGAATGAAATAGTATAGCCTCAGTGCTAATGTAAGCAAGATAAGTTTCCAGCATTGGTTGGCTTTTAAGATTCAGCTCACCACTGCCCATGGGTAATTCCCACTGAGAGAGTTAATGTTTTAGATGCTGTTTCCACAAATATCTCCAAATAATGAGTTATCATCTCTTTCGGAAATGGAGAAAATATGTAAAATTTTACTGTAGTTGTTTATCACAGCAGTGTAAATGTCCTTACAGAGAAAGTGAAGTAGAACTCGAATTTCAGGTTTGACTTTAACAGACAGACATAAATCTGATAGCTATTTTCTTATCTCTCTCCACAGAAATAAAGAACTTTTGCACTTTACTTCTACTACTAATGTTGAACTTATTCATTTCAAGGGTTATTTGAGACATTCCACAATGCAGAATAAATAGATGAAACCGAGTCAGCTTCAATACCTTGACAGGAACATTTGGGGGAAATTATCTGTAACTTGTTCAGGTTGCTGTTGTTTACCAATTGCTCTTTTTTTCCTGTTTAAACCTGACCTGCTGATAGTTACAAGACAATCAACAGAATCACTACATATTGTGAGTGCAGTTTATGATTGAACAAAATAACCTGCTTTACTTTGTGGGATGTAAGCCACAGGAACATTCACTAGGTTATATTTTTAGAATTGTGCAAATGTACTAGATTGGTGTTTGTACACAATCACATTTCTACTATGAAGAATTCTGTAAATGGAGGAGACTGGTTTTCACACAATCTTTCATCACAGTTACCCTCTCACCGCGCAACCACAACACAACACACATACACACACACACACACACACCACACACACACACACACACACACACAGCAGTCTTACCTCGAGTCGTATGTATTCAATCTGCTCCTTTGAGATCAGATATAGGATGGTGCTGCTGTGTTTACGAGTTCTAACCAGGACTTGAACCCATGTCCTCCGGGCCGGGAGCGGGGACGCCAGCTGGTAGTGCACGTGACTGTGCCCATCAAAGGAATACTCTGGGACCTCTGGTGTTGGTACACACACATAAGTCAGTCAGATAGTGATATGATTGAGAATAAACACAATTAAAGTTTTAAATATAACACATTATATTTTATTCAATTAGAAGACACTTCTCTCCAGAGGGAAGTGACCTCAAGTAACTTCAACTAATTCAGTTTCACAAGTCCCTAAATTCCCCCCATATGCAGAGAGCTGGTGGCAGGACAGAATATGCAAAGACACAAGATAGAATATGTATGGGTGGTTTAGCTTGGGTTATGCTTGGTTCTTCTTTCTTGCACCCATGTTCCCAGAAGTGGATTTTGTGCATGCCAGGCAGACTAAACCAAGCACACCTAAAATGTTTTCAAAGCCATTCTTCCATCTCATAGCATATGCAAGTTAAATTTTCTTTTCCGTCTATCGCTTCCACACCTCTCTCTCCTTGTCTCTCTTCCATGTAACTTTGACAAAGTTGAGTGGTTCATGAGATCCTGTTTGACGGCAATGTCAAATTGCACATTTTTTGGTTTCTTCTGAGCATGCAGTATGCAACTGATCAGCCGGGTCTTCTCAAAACTCCATCTTGTTTGTTTTTTCTGCAAGCTGTGTTTATCAAGGCCACAGAGCTTTCTGTGTGGGATACGAAATCATATTAACACTACCAATTTTACACTACCTTATTCATAGATAGGTTGCTCAGTATAGAAGTGGCATAGAGCATAGTTCAGTAGAGTGTGGTGAACTAAACTTGCAGAAATGTGGATATTTATTAAATCACTGGTTGAATGTTCCAAGCAACAGTGAGAATATTCTCTTTCCTTACTGCTACTTAGATCTGTTATAGACACACTTTCTTCCTGACATTACCATGCATCTAGGGGAAGTGAAGATAAAGACAGATCAAATGAGTATTACATTCACTGAGCAGCCAGCAATGTGCTTTAGATGGTAACGTAATGTCAAAAATGGGCTGCAGGATAATCTGGGTGAGTAAGTCTGCATACAGACTGATTTTTCTTGTCTTAGGCTCTGCCAGATCGGATGCTTTATATGGGCTCCCAGATAAATCACACAAACACAGTCCGTGTGTGAGAATTGTGATAAAAAGTACACATCACTTTTTCTTTTTCGAAAGACTACAATGACTGTCAAAATCATCTATGTGTCCCTAGTTAGTCATTGACTGCTGAGATTGAATCATGAATGAAGAGTGATTCATACACATTCCTTCCTTTATTAAGTCATTCACTTAATTATTTGTTGAAAGATTGTCTATCTGCCCCATACTGAATGTTTGAGGGCATGGCAACATCCACAGATGGGAATCACTGAGACTGCAACAGTTTGAGACCAACAACTCTAAATAATGACAGTGCCTTCTCTAAGTACAATTAAACTGTTAAAGAAAGGGATTTTTTAAAGATGATGTAATGGTCCCAAAATAGATATCCTTTCGTAAAATGTTGACCTAATATTGATTTTATGAGCTAACACCCTCACACATTCAATACTAACACATTTGAGAGGGTCCTGTCAGGGTGTGGCACCATGTGGTACAAGACAAGAACTAAATAAGACTGTAAAGCCTGGCAAAGAGTGGGGGTGATGAGGATCATTAAAGACCCCAATCTCAGTCCAACAACAGTCTCTTCTAACTGCTGCAGTCAGGCAAACGCCTCCACAGCCATAAGGCCAACATGGAGAGGCTACCAAGGAGCTGCTTTCTTCAGGCCATAAGTATCCTTAATGTGGATGCTGCCAAGGGCCTGCAGGCTGTGCTCCACGAGAATTACACAGCGGCAATAAAGAACCGCCTAAGGTTCTTGACCTATATATACATACACTCTATTCATGAATTTAGAAATAGAGTAAATCTCACCTGCATACAGGAAGCAGATGGCATTATAAAGGTTTGAAATGCATGGAACAGCAGTATGTGATGACATAAGTAATTAACCCTGGTTGGTAAGTCTGTAGTCCTCTCTCAGAGTTTTATTCTCTTTTACAGTTTAGGTTACACTTTATATTCAAAATAAATTAACGTCAGCAAGATTTAATGCAGCCTTGAAGAATGAAACTTGCAAATAAAAAAAAAGGTTTACACGCTCAGCATATGGATGATGTTGTTTTGTTGTTGGTGGTACAATCACACACAAAGTGTCTTCCTTAAATGCATAACCGCATCTGTATGGCTCAAACAACTAGACGAGTTGCAGTTTACATCCATGTCTGTCTAGATATAATATATGTGGTGAATACTTGGAAGGAATTTTTCTTTTTAGCTAAATGGAAGTTATCACTATATTGATGATACATATGATTCCAGTTAATATATATTTCACATTTAAAGGACAACTAAAGATGGATTCTTGAGGAGCATAGCTTTATTAAATGTGGTGCTTTCATTTCCTCATGGAATTTTTGGATGCAACATTTTGTAGGTGAAAATCTCACACACACTTAAATAATGGCTAAAAACCTATTTTGAGGTGACAATGACCTTTGACCACTAAATTCTAATCAGTTCATCCTCAAGTCCTCAAGAAGAAACTCCTGAAGGCGTTCCTAAGATATCGCGTTCACAATAATGGGACGGACAGTTGGACAACCCGAAAACATAATGTCTCTGGCAATGGCTGTTGCCAGTGGGGGCATGAAGAAAACTGGCCTACCCTCTTCACACTGGTGTCCTGTGTATCCCGGCACACACTGGCAGCTGAAGGAGCCCCACTCGCCGTGACAGCGACCACGGTGGCCGCAGGACGGATAGCCCATGTTGACACAGCTGCTATCGGTGGTCAGGCAGCCTGGAGAGCTGGACTGTGAGTCGGCCGGGGAGCCCAAATCATACAGCTGAATGAGGAAGATAGAGAAAAAGAGATGGAGCAGTAACAATGTAAAGAAGATCAGAGGTGGAAGAAGGAGATATAAGGAGAGATATGAAGGGAACAGAAGAGAGATGAGCAAGAGGAGATGAACAAGAAGAGAGAAACAATGTAAGAGAACAGCATTAAACAGGAAAGACAAAGCAAAGAAAAATTGGCAGAGAGATGACAAAAGCTGACAAAAAGGAGACAGAAGACAAAAAGGCAAGGTGACAGCAGAGTAAGAGGATTGGGGAAGACACCGGACAGATAGGCAGGGGGTAAGTAGCCAGAGGGGTAGTCAGAGTTTGAAAAGAAGAAAATAAAGTAAAACCGAGCAAAAATAAAATAATTCAGTAAGGGAAACTTTCAAATGTGTTGAAGGACATGAGCTCAGGGTACTCTGTGGCCTTCTCTTCTTTTCTGCTCTCGTTTTTTCCTCTGACTCGCTCTTCCCACAGTGATGAAACCAAATCTGGACCAATCTTCTAACGGACAAACAGCATGGCACACTGCACAAAAAGCTGAAAGGACGGGGGAACCTTGGACGCCTAAGTTTGTGTCCCTCACAAAAGCGATGCCATGAAAGACTTTAATATGTTCGATCTCCTCTCTGCCTAACCCAAACTTTATGGCTTCTGTTGGTGCTGCTGCGAGGACGTACAGAAATGCAGCATATCGTAAAAACTGACAGTAAGTCATGCCGCCAGGGAGCTGCTGATTGGTTCTGACCTCTACCAAAGAGGCATCTCATTGGTTGCTGACCTTTAAAAGCTGCAGCTTCTCTGTTAGCTGGGTTTGGACCTTTGATTGCTAAGAACTGCAAGGCAGATATTAGCAATCAATGACTGAAAGACACATTGAGGTGTCTGCAATTTATTTGACTGTACATCTGTGTCACTGAAATGTGTGTAGGTGTGTCTGAGCGAAACATGTGGATTGATATATGAGTTGAATGCAAAAATACACCTGCTTCTGCTTAAAATTATAAATTGTGGCTTCAGCTGAGAAGACTGTCACACCCCCACACAGAGACACTGTGGGATGCCCTGTTTGCCAAGATTAATTTCAGGTGTTGGGTATAAAAATGTCTCAGCCCAGAGGAAGGGAAAAAAATAATAATTCTAGACAAAAACACAAGGTATAAAGCTGTGTGCTGTGCAGCTTGGTAGGTTTCACCAAAAATATCTGATCCTCTCAGCACCTTGTGTGTCACACTGAAAGAACACAAAAATTCAGTGTCAGATTAAACCGCTTTGGAAATGCAGATGATAAGTGCTGGGCCACCACGAGCCGCCAGAAACGCATTAGTGCTCCTTGGCATTATGTACTACAAGGGCAAAAGTCTGTGGACAACTTTATACCGTTCTGTGATTGATGAACCTCCATTCCCAAACCATGGAACCTTTCTTTAGACATTTGCTTTCACAAGAGGATTATTGCGGTTGGATGTTGATATGGGCAATGAGGTCTGGCTCACTGTCTGTGTTTTAGTTTAATATAAGATAAAATTAGATAGACCTTATTGAGCCCACACTGTTACAGCAGCTTCTGATAAAACATAGCAGATAGAAAAAAAGAAATACACAATAAATAACAAAATAAAGTAGAAAACTAAAGATAAAGGAATAAATAGAATTAGGATTTGCAAAATTAGGAACCGTACTATGCCAAAACCCTTCTCTGCCTTTGATTGGCTAGTAGTCATACCTTCATATGGGTTTGTCACTCATTTGTAATTTTGCCATGACATTAGAATGGTGTTTTTCTGAAATTGACTCCAACATGGTCTACCAAATGAATACAATGTAACATCTACACAATGATTTTCGTGAAACATACAGGCAGCAGATTCTGTCTCAAATTTATGCTGGTAGTATGCATGTGGGGCAATATACAATACAACAATATTGTCTGTTACAAGTCAAACTTTTTGCTGAGAAACACTGTAAATCCAACTTCAACTCAAAGTTACTAGCATTCAAAAAGACCATTAGGCCAACCCCTGTATCTGCAAACTTCCATACTTAAAAATTGAGTGACAGTTGTGTCAAAACCACAGGAAAACTTAAAGCAGTAATGTTAGACTGAGAGCTGAAGGGAGACAGACAAGCAGAATAATGTCAGAACAAGGATGAAAAGTTAAAAACAGACGATGGTGAATGACAGCCAGAGGGGGAGAGACCCAACTCTAGAATAGAAATGTAATTATAAAAATCTAAAAAATCTCTTCCTGCCCCTTTTCCTGGACATAGCCTCATGTTCGCACCTGCCTTCAGTCCAGTCTAGTATTCTCTCTTCATCTACACACGCACACACACCTCATACTGTTTCCATACAGCCACGTATGACACTTCAATAAGTTTAATGGGGGGTGACATGGTCCTCACATGCTGTATCTCTCTCTGGCTCCAAAACAGAAACAATGTATAAAATACAGACACAAATGCCCAATGAAAAGCACACATAAAACACACACAGGATCTAATCATAGGATCAAGCTTTACAATATACACAGACACAGAAAAGTAAAATCACAAACAAACATGGAGACGTGTACAGAGGAAACATACAGAGCATTCAGTTATAGCAAGTGTGTCTATCAATGTCAACTACCTTTATCACAGCACAGCAACAAGTGAAACAGATGATGTTGCTATAGCAACAAATGTGACACATTAGCACATTTTGTGATAATAAGAACACCACCACCAAATGAAAAAAGTCATACAATGCAGGAGCATGTCCATCAACATTATTAATCATCAGTACGCCTACTGTTGCTTGCTCTTTGGAGATTTATTATCCTCATGTCCACCCACACGCATCATGCAGATTTCTCTCATTAGGACATAACGTTTGTGCAGCCTCCCGCTACGTCTCCAACTAAGGTAGACCACAACTACAAGCCTTTAGCATTGCAGCAGGAGAAAACTAATTTCTATTTATATTCCCGCTTTTAAGATTCAACATCTTAATAGAGCTTTAAACTACTACTGAATGGATACATATAAATTTTGCTTATGGAGTAATAAGACTCTAACAGCCACACTCACTGCCCCTAGAGGTCCTCCTGTGCTTGGTTTAGTTGTGTTCTGGCATCAAATATCTACCTCTCACTATACATCACACTCATGCATACATACACTTGCACCACTGACTTTACTGATAAACACACCTCATCTTATCTGTAGTTTGTTTTTTGGTTGCGCTCATTCTGATCTGTTAAAGAAAATTACTTATAATTTGCCATTATGCTGCGTCTCCTTGTTTTTGTCATGGCTCCAGAGCCCGGTCGTGACAGTAACAAAAACATAACAATTTTTATTCAGGTATTATACAGTAATGAATACATTCCTATGAATATTATATTCAATTTCTTCCAATAGATCCTCCTTAGTTCACAGTTAACCTAAGTCAGATTGAATATGTAAGTCAGTTTAGTGAAAATTGGTCACATTATTTCAGTTGTGTAACACTGAAAACAAACCAATGTGTTTGTACATTAGATAATTTCGATAGATAGATCGATAGATCGATAGATAGATAGATAGGTAGATAGATAGATAGGTAGATAGATAGGTAGATAGATAAGGTAAAAAGCATCAGGGCATCCCCACCTATGTTTTTTTATTTCAAAATAAGAGCATGCATTTAGACAAGATTCTGCACTACATTTGAAGAACTAGCTTCAAGAAAAGACTCCAGCAAGATCGGTTGCTACAGTAGCAACAGTTGCTCATTTATCTTATCCAATTTGAAGAAGGCACTGCGGCTGTTCAATGCGGCTGCAAGCATGGTAGCAAAACTATTAAAGTTTCTGATACCTCCTACGAAAGTGTCACAGATGATGAGAATTCCTGCTCCCCTCCCACTTGCCTTCTTTGTATAGAGAATGCAAAAATACCTTGGTCTCCTATATGATTTTTTATTATGAGGGAACCCACATCTTACTGTCTGTCTGAATCAGTGGGAATACAGTGCAAAAAGACCCTGAAGTTTATGTCTAAATACCAGTTATGTCTAAATACCAGTTATGTCAGGCAAGACTCGATAGTTCTGGACTGTCAGGGGCAAAATTTCTCACTTAGTCAGAGGTTTATTTGATGCCAAGCTAAAAAAATGGCAGCAGAAAATACAATTTTAACCAAAATTTCAGGCTTTAAAAAGCAGTGGGGTCAAAAAAGGCCTTACCTGAGGCCTGTGTTCATAGAGAAATTATGTGGGTTTTGTTGGGGTTGGGCTCGGATTGTCATGGTTGAGTATGGAGTCCTTGACTTTTTAACTCCAACAGAGCAGTAGAAGGTTACTTGAAAGTCTTGACTTGAAGTCAGATTGGGCTGGAGTGGAAAGGTTCATATTCCATTTCACCCTTAGGGTGCACGTGTGTAATATTTGAAAGCTTTGAGTTTACAGTTAAAAGTGTAAAAAAACCTCTTACATGGCACAGGGGTACTGTGAATGTTGAAACCTGTTATTAATCCATTTATCAGCTAGAGTACAGGAGTGAGTTTGAGTTTGCTGGCATGCTGGCATGCTAATGATTGTGTGTTTGTGTACAGGTGTGTGTTATTTGGGTTACCTTGCTGTCCACGATGAGGTTGCGGATGCAGCCGGTGAAGTGTTTGTGCTGGAGCTGAGGGTAGATGTAGGGAATGTCCTCATTCACACCGCCGAGCTGGAGCACGTGGCTCATGTTGAGGTGTCTAAAATATAGAGGCATATATACACACATATTCTAATCAGGGCTCATAGTACACATAATACATGCATTGCCATAATTGCCGAAAATCACAAGCATCAATCATTGCTTCAGCTTTTAACTAGATTATTCTAGCCTTTTAAAATTTAACATCAATCAAACATGTCAGCCACAAAATCGTAGGGGACAACATAACATTATCACCAAATTTCATCTGAAATTTTCAATCAAGTTTTTGTGGCAAATGCATTAACAAAAAATTGCCTATGTAAACATTCAGCAGACGTGTAGGAAGTATTAGCATTAATTTGGAGTTGTTTTCTGGCCAAAAGATTACAGTTGTGTGCTGTAAATCCAAAACAACAAGCTAAAAGTCAACAACTCCCTCCATAGACCTGAGGGGAACTGCACTACTGTGAAAAACATCCCCTTACATATTACACATAGTCATTTGATCCTTTGTTAATCTAAAAATTGATTATTGTAACTTTAGGGTGAAGACCACATTTAAAGGTGATACATAAGATGGTGCAATTAACAGTATATATGAGCCAATGTCCAAAAAGTGTGGCAAATGTCTATTCACTTTGTATTAGCAAGACTACTTCTTGTTATTCTTTTACAAGTATATAGCATGAATATTTCATGATTGTAT